CTCCTTCAGGGTGTGTCTCTGCTGTCACAATAGACAACATGGGCAGCAGTGTGCAGACATAAGTCAGTGAGTCTCAGCAAGCCAGCCACAGACCTGTGGGATTCAGGCAGATTTCTGGCTGCAGGTACCAAGTCGAGCTCCCTGTCCTCCTGCAGGGTTGAACTCTGCAGGGTTCTACTGCAGGTTCCTGGGGAATATTTTGAGATGTTCCACAATGCCATATGCAAAAGCACTTGGAAAATAATGTGATCAAACCAATAGGCAGAATGAAGCAAGAAGTGTATGGACATGCTAAGCATTTGTTTTTGTTTGGAATGTGGCGTATTTTATAGGATGACTGTAACATAAAGCAAAAAATAAAGTATATTAGATTTTTACAGCTGTTGTAATAAGTTATTAGAAACCCAGTGGCTTAAAACAACACAGATTTATTATCTTAAAATTCTGGAGGGCGGGAGTTCAAAATTGGTCTAAGGAGACTAAAGTCAGGATGTTTGTAGGGCGGTATTTTCTGGAGGCTCTCAGGGAAAATCTGTTTTCTATCCTGTTTCAGCTTCTAGAGGCTTCCCCAAATTCCTTGGTTTGTGCTCCCTTTCTGTCTGCAAATCCAGCAGTGGCCAGTGACATCTTTATCATATCACACGACTCTAATACACTGATTCTTCTGTGAGCTCTTTCACTTTCAAAGATGTCTGTAGTTATACTGGGCCCACCTGTATAATCTTTCTAAGGTCAGCTGATTAATATGCATAATCTTAATATCTGCTACCTTAATTCATCATTGTTACATAATGTAATATATTCACAAATTATAGGAATAATAATGTAGACATCTTTGGGAGGCTATTGTGGGTAGATGGGGCCAGGTTATAGAAGCTTTAAATACAGCATTGAAGATTTTTGATTAAAGCAGTGATCAAAGCAGTGTTTTTAGAAGTTTAATCTGTAATCTGTTCTACCATCTATATGCTGTCTAGAATACGATTAGAAATCAGCAATCCTCAGTTGTCTTTTCAGCTTTGCATTGACACTTTTCTTCTATAACTGCTTCTATCCATAAATCCTTAATCAGAGAATTAGTTACTCTGAACATTGTTACAGTCACTTTTCTCATCCTGTTTACTGTAAGGCCATTTCACTATGTTATAAAAGGAGTACTAGATTAACATTTAGGGGACTGGTGCTATAAATCAAACTTTGTCAATAATTTGATTTGTAATCTTATGGCTATTCTTTAGTCTCTCTGTGTTGCAGTTCTCCACCTGTGTATAGTACTTGGGATAATAACAGCCCACTCAACATGCCAATCTGACAGAGATACAAAGATGAACTTATTCCAAAATAATATAGCATATTTTTATTTTTATATAGGAAAAATTCATAACTTTGCTTTTCCTTTTGTATCTTAAAGAACAAATGATGAAACAAAAAAACAAGTTCAGTGACTCCTGCATGCTTCTTTTACTTTCTCCTCCTCTCCATTCTTTTTACTTCTCTGTAAATAGACATCAGGTTGTTATATCATAGCAAGTCCAGTAATATTTTGTAGACCTGTTTTCAGGACCAGACTACTAGATTGTATGACTCTTTAAGCCCTCACTTGGGGAAGTTAATTTATTTGAATAGTTTTGTGAAAGCTAGTTAAACATATGAAGGGATACTCATATTTCATTTATGCCTTATAAATAGCAAAACAGACTACATACTGCTAAAAATCCTAAAATGTTTGTGATTCATAACCCAAAATTATTTACTCCGAGTCATCTGCAAACTTTTCCTTGGTTTATAATAAATACATGAGAATGAATCATCATAAATGTTTCACCTCTGTTATTGTTTTATCAAACATTTCTTAGCTGGTCTTACAATATGAAAGTTTCACATTTACAGTGATTGACTATAGTAAGTATTGCCCCAATACATGAGACTATTAGGATAAATATTTTATTTTTTTACAGTAAAAATATGATGTGAGCCTTATGTATAATTTTGAATATTCATATGAGGAAAAAATAAAAATAAGGAGGCAAAATTAATATATTTTAATATAATATGTCCAAAACATTATTTCAACATGTGATCACTATAAGAAATTTTTGAGATATTTTTGACATTTTATGTATTCAAACTTTGAAATTGTATGTATATTTTATGCTTAAAACATATTTCAATTTGGACTAGCCACATTTCAAGTACTTCATAGCCACATATGATAAGCAACTACTACATTGGACAGTTTTAGTTTCCTTGGTTGTTTCAGAAACTCAACACTCTCATGAACTCAAGAAAAATTATGATTTTGTAGGTCAGCTGGTCTTTTATCATGGACAGTTCAGGCACCTCAGAATTTAGAGCCTTTCCTTGAAGCTCTGAACTACTATGTCTACTCCCTCTGTCAATGGTTCTACCTCCCTGCTCCCCTTCACAGTCTTCCTCTGGTCCTCACTTCCACCTTTATGCCATTTTATCTTTTTTTTTACAATTCCACCTGTTCTTCTCTTTTTCAAGCTCCCTTGCTTGTTTTGCTGAGATTCTAAGGAGAGAGTGCCATTAACAGAATGGCCTTCTACCTTCACAAACACACACATAGAAAAGCATTACCAGTGGAAATATAGGCTGCTGCCATTAGTGTACACAATATGGAGAATAAAAAGTTCTTTCTTAGGAAAAGTTGGGAATACCTGATGATAATCAAGTCTGTGTTATAGGGTTATGTAACTTACAAGCTGTATAGCTGTTCCATGCAATGTGGAATAAGAATTCCATTTTTTTGCTATGATAAGTTTGTTTTTTAATAAGTCTCAGAAATAAGATGAAAACTTACAACTTCAATTTTGGTATAGGTTTGAGCAAGGAATTGTAATCAAGTTTCTTGCCAGACTATCCTGTCTTTCCTTCCTCTTAATAATCGGTTCTTGGGATTTATACTTCCAAGGTACTTTTTTTAGTCTGCATTGTACTTCTCACATTGCAATATTTAGCCCCAATTTTTAAATGCACAAATATGCAGTCTTTGCAGAGTAACTCGAAAAGGTCAGTGCCAACAATCAAAAAATGAAATGAAAATTCCATTTACAATAGCATCAAAAAGAATAAAATACTTAGGAATAAATTTAATAAAAGAAGTATAAAACTTTATTGAAAGTAATCAAAGAATACCTAAATAATGACCATACTTCCAAAACTGCTGTATAGATTTAATGCAATGCTGATTGAAATCCCAACAATACATTTCACAGAACGAGAAAAAACAATCCAAAAATTCATTTGGAACCAGAAGAGACCTAGAATGAATAACAAAAGCAGTTCTAGGCAACAGAGACATGGCAGGGGGTATCACAATCCCCATCTTGAAACTATACTACAAAGCTACTGTGATAAAAACAGCATGGTACTGTTAAAGAAACAGACCTGAGGATCAGTGGAATAGATTAGAAGATGCAGAAACAACTCCAGACATACTCAGCTACCTCATTTTGACAAAGGAGCTAACCACCCTCATTGGAGGAAAGATAGCCTATTTAATAAATGGTGTTGGAAAAATGGGACTTCAGCCTGGCATAGATTAAAACTAGACCAATGTCTATCACTATGCACTAAACTAAGATTGCAGCAGATTAAAGATCTAAATATTAAAACAGAAGCACTAAACTTGCTAGAAGATAAGTTAGGTAAAACTCTTGAAGACATTGGCATAGGAAAAGACTTTATGAACAGAACCTCAGTAGCATGGGAACTAGTACAAAATCAACAACTGGGATCTCATCTTATTAAAAAGCTGCACTGCAAGAAAAACCACCATCAGAGCTAAGAGACAACCTACAATGTGGGAAAAAAATTTTAGCAGCTGTACCTTAGACAAAGGACTACTATCTAAAATATATTTCTTTAAAAAATATATTTCTTGAAAAAAATCAGACCCCCCACATTCAAAAACCCAATTCAAAAATAGGCATCTGAAATGAACAGACATTTCTCAGATAAAGAAGTAAAAGCAGCAAAGAAAAAAAAAAATGTTCAACATCACTGATCATTCGAGAGATGCAGATGAAAACACTGAGATTCCACCTCACTGCAGAAAGAATGGCTGCTATCAAGAAATCAACAAATAACAAATGCTGGCGGAGGTGTGGGGAGAAAGGAACCCTTTCTCCATTGTTGGTGGGAGTGCAGGCTGGTGCAACCACTGTGGAAATCAGTGTGGAGAAACCTCAAAAAACTAGGGCTAGAGGCCCCATTTGACCCAGCTATTCCCCTGCTTGTTATCTTCCCAAAAGAATTAAAAGAATCATACCACAGTGATATATGTGCACCCATATTTATAGTGGCACAGTTCGTAATAGCTGAAGCTTGGAAACAGCCCAAGTTCCCATCAACTGGAAACTGGATAAAGAAAATGTGTTTTTTATAAAATGGAGCACTGCTCAGCCATAAAGAATGAGAAACTAGAGACATTTATAGCTAAATGGGTGCATATTGAGGCCATACTCAAGTGAAATAAATAGGACACACGTGTAAATACCAAATAGTTTCTCTAGTGTGAGAAACTGAAAGTGTAAATAAGGATTAAAATGGTTAAAATGAATAATTGATAATTTGAAATAGGAAGAAAAGGTCCAAAGTGGTAGGGGTGGTGGGAGGAGAAGGGGTAAGGAAAGAAGGGAAAGGGAAAATTATGAGAAAAGAAAAAAATGGAAACAAAGTTTACGTAAATAGGGAAGGGTGGAGGGGGTGAAGGGCACACAGGTAATGGGGAAAAAATAAGAACCAAGATATATCATGTACAGGTACAAGCACCCAGTGGTAAATGTAAACGTATTGTATACCTAAAATGTGCCAATAAAAGAATTTAAGAAAAAAAACCTTTGGAAACATAGAGACAGCGAGTAGGATAGTTTATATATGTGAGTGTATTTTATAATGCTTTAATTTGATGTTAATGGTCACTTATGTGCTTCTTCCTCCATAGTTATCAAGGAATATGAAGAACGAAGAAAGCATCCAGGAATCCAGATTTGATTATTACAACCACGAAGTTCCTAATATTGACCTCAGTGAATGTGAGTTCCCACATGTCATTGAAATTTATGACTTCCCCCAAGAATTTCGTACAGAAGACCTTCTACGGGTTTTCTGCAGTTACCAGTAAGTATTTAAAAGTAACTACAGATATTAGGAAAGGTGGAATGAAGTCTTCCTAATAACATCTTCTGAGTAATCACTTCTTGTTTTCATATTTCTTGTTGTTTACTTTAGCAGTCAGGCTTATTATCTAGTCCAGGTCATTAGAAATATCAAACTGCTCTTCTGAATTACTTAAAAATGCCACATTTAAGCTTTCAAGAAGACTGTCATCAGTGATAACTCCTGAATCTGTTTTCATGGTATGTTATTGTCATTGTCATTGATATATTTGGATTTATAGCCAAATATATATTTTTATATTTACCTTCCATCTTCTTTGTGTGTGTTTACTTGTCCTTTTTCTCTTTTCTCTAGCCTTCTTTCGGATTTATTAGGTATTTTTTTATTCTGCTTTTTTTTTTAAAGAAATGATTTATCTGTTTTTAGTGCTTACTTTAGAAATTATAAAATGCATGCTACATTTATCAATAACTAAAGCTAATTTTTTACTTTCTTTCTAAACACTGTAAGGACTTTTAATTCCATTTCCCACCTCTTCTTTCCCCAGCTTATAAACCTGTGTGCTGTTGTGGCTGAGTGATTCTTGTTTGTTTTCTCTCTTTTTAAGTTTTATTTGACATTATTATTTTACATATTCAGTGCTTAGGTTTATGTATTTTCCATACTTCATTTATCCACCCCCCTGCCATGGTACTTGGAATCATACATTCTTGCATCTTATTCCTTCTATTTGAAATCTTTCTCATCTTGTATGGGGTATGTTTTTTGGCATTTAACTTAGAAACAATGTGCTAGAAGCAAACTAAGTTTTACTTTAATGGCTTTATTTCAGCTTCATTGTTGAGAACAACATTTTTGCTGGGTATAGAATTCTACAATAAGCTGGTGTAGTAGCACCTACCTGTAATCCCAGTACTCAGGAGGCTGAGGCAGGATAGGATAGCTTCAATTTAAGACCAGCCTGACCTACATATAGTGAGTTCAAGGCCAGCCTGAACTGCATGACAAGACTATTTCAAAAAACAAACAGCAACAGCAAAAAAAGAATTCTACATTGGAAGATATTTTTCTCTCAAAAACTTGAAGATAGTCTACTGTTTTTTTGTAATCTCTTTCAATGATAAGTCAGCTGACAGTCTGACAACTAGTCACTTTGGATGGTATAGTATATTGGTCAGGGGTTCTCTATAGGAACAGAACCAATAGAATATACACATACACGTGTGTATATATATGTATGTGTACATGTATATACACATGGATATGTGTATATACATATACACATGCACATATATGAGGTGCAATTGAAAACAGTGAATACTTAAATTTTTAAAATTTTATTACAGTAAAAGACACATTGCCATTAGTCCCCCTCAAAAATACTCCTTGCTTTGAACATACTCATTCTATTGTTCTTACCTCTTTCTGAAGCAGCTCTAGAAGTCCTCTTTTGTGTCTTTACCAGGTGTGGTCAGATATATACAGTGAATGCTGAGTACCATCCAGCAGAAAGACAGGCTCCTAAAAACATTATGGTATGTCCTCATCCACTTATTCACTAGATCTGGCACAATATGATTTCTGGCTCTTTCCCAGTGTCAAAATGACTATGAAAAGTAAACATTTTCATTAGAGTCAAGATATTGAGGCAGTCATGATAGCGCAAATAGAGACTCGTGAAAGAAGTCTTCCAGAACTGCTTTAGGAAGTGGCGATAAAGGCAAGATAAGTGTTTGAATTGAAGGATTGTTTGGGGAGGGGTTGTGGGAATGTGTCTTTTACTGTAATAATTTGAAAATTTTATTCACCATATTTTTTGATCACACTGTGTGCATATATGTATGTTAATGAAGGTTTTATTAGATTGGCCTTCAGGATCAGAGACTGGATAGTCCTACAGTGGGGAGATGCTGGTGAGCCAAGGAAACTAGTAGCTGCTTAATCCAAGGAACTGGAAACCTCAGAGTGAGAGGAAGCAGTAGTACAGCCCCAGCCCAAGACTGAAGACCTGAAAGCTCCCTTTAGAGTCGCTGTTGTGAGTCCACATAGGCTGAAGAAGCTGGACGCTGTTGTCCACAGGCATTGCTTAAGAATCAAGCTTGCATGCGCTGGTTGGCTTCATCATCCTTCCCCCTTCTGTTCCATCGGGGCTTCAACCTATTGTATTTTATCACCCACATTCAGAGAAGGTTTTCCCCTCAATTTACTGACTCACATGCTAATTGTCTCTGAAACTAGGTATGCTTTCCTAGGCACACCTAGAAGTGTGCTTTACTAATTTCCTAGGCATCCCTCATTCCAGTTAAGTAGACAATCAAGATTAACTGTCACAGAAGCTATTGAGAATTTCTCTGTCTTTGGTCTTCTTTTTTTATTTTTTTAGGTTTTTTTTTTTTTTTTTTTGGTACCAGGGATTGAACTTGGGTCCTTGCACTTGTGAGGCAGGCTGTGGAACCACTGAGCTAAATCCCTGGCCCTGGTCTTCCTCATTTTCATCTTGATGTGGGCTTTGTGGATTTTTTTTTCCAGATTCCTGTCACATGGAGAATTGTTTTCCATCCTTTTACTTTCAGTCTGTGAATTTCTTTTTGAATTAAGCATGTTTCTTATATACAGCATATTGTTGGATTTTGCTTTCTAACCCATTCTGCCAGTCTATTTCTTTTGATTGGTGAGTTGAGGCCATTAACATTGATAGCTGTAACTGATATGTATTGACTAATCCTTGTCATGTTATTTTACTGTTGTTGGCTCTTTTATTTTTTATTTTTCCCCTTCCCTTTAATTTGCCTTGCCTCTTTTTTTCTTTCTTTTAATCCTGATTGAGATTATGTGGGTTGACAGACTCAAAGGATTAAGGTTTTTGATTAATTTTGGAGAACTCTTAGACATCATCTCTTCAATCAAATATTGCTCTTTCACCTTCTCTAAGATGCCACTTAGATATGTATTAGTTGTGGCAGTTAATATCTGCCATAAACCGTACATTAATTGTGCAGTGTAGGTCAGGCACCCTAATTTATTATAATTATGATAAGACCCAGTATCAGGGCTTGTTCAGTATAAAAGTCGTCATAGATCTTTAAAATCAGTGGGATTAAATTCCACATTAGAACTACCTTTGATTGTCATTAATAACAACAATTTGTAAAACCAAGGATCATTTTATTGATGTCCGAATGTTCTCAAGAGTGGTTAATTCTTATGAATTATTACTTTCCTTGGGTTTGTTCTCTGTAATCTTACCTGCAAGACCATTTTTCTTTCAAATCCAAAAACATTTCCAAAAGGTACGAATTTTAAAGGATTATAAAATCCTAAAGTCTAAACGACCTTTCAGAACCAATCTAGGTCTTTTCCCAGCCATTTTGCAAACTATCCTGTAGTATAGACTTTTGCTGTTGAACTTTTCCAGTCTTTAACCTCTATGATCATTTTATGATGTGGTCAATCTTATGCTTATATTCAGGAAATACTCTAACCTTCAAAGCCTACTTTATTCCTTTTTCCCTCAATGAGATTTTCTTTTGGTCTTACTATTAAAGAGGAAAGATATTTTAGCAATTGTCTTTTTTTTTCCTTTATAATGATTTATAAAATAATTTTTTAAAAGGTCATGGTGCAGAAACTTAGAATAATGGCTATAAGTCTGTAACCAGAGTCAACTTGTGTTTTTATTACTGTCTTCATTAATGTTCATAATCTTCCTGATGAACATTGCTTTTAATAAAAGTGAGCACCATTCATTTATAATATGCCCACTGAGTGCTCAGTACCTTGTTCTTGGCCTTTTTATGGATGATCTCATTTCCATTTTCACAACTCTACAAGGAAGGTACTCTGCCCATTTTTACAGACGAACAGACAGCCTCAAGAAAGTTCATAGTCTGAAGGTAATAGAACCTTAAGTCCTTGTATATGTGACCCTCAAACCCATGATTTTTCCAGTGAACTTTATTGAATTCATGAGCAGTTTTAAACTCCTACTGAAAAAAATAACTTAGATTATCATCCTGGTAAGTCTTTGTCTTACTATATAGTTCTGTTCCAAAATGAAGGTATTTTTCTAGTACCTAAATGTTCATTCTTTTGATACTTTCTAATCTTGTCTGGTATTTTTCATATCATGATTTCATTTATCATTAATTGTTTTTTCTGAATTTGTCACAATCTTTTCTATTTTCTCTTTCTTACCACCCTTCTATAACAACTAAAAAAGAGTAGATAAGCCTCTATGATTATAATTATCTTTTTTCTCCATTACTTGACTTTTTAAAGAATTTGAAATGCAATACATTTGTTTCTGTTTCTCTCAACAACAGAATGTACATTTGCATTAAATCTAAGTGACCTCCTTTGACTACTTCCCCCTATATTCTTCTCCCCTCCTCTACTTCCCTTTCCATCTCTTTTCATTCCCTGTTCCATAAGAACATGTTTTATAAATAGTGCAGTAAATACTTTGTCTCCCAGGAGACTTGTGAGGATTAATTAGTTGATGTCTATAAAATGTCTGGGAACATAAAATACTCCCAGGTAATTCTTTATGGTGGTATTATTGCTCTTAAAATTCAGGGGCTTCTTCTGTCCTCCAAGGTGATTTTGTGTCATTATCCCCATTCCACCTGTGCAGTCTGAGTGTTTCTCTGTCTCATGAAATGCTATATAAGACTCTGTTTGAAAGATGTTTCATAAAAGTAAATTTTATTTTAAGAAATAAAATTGTTTTCTTTTGTTGCAGAAAGAAAGGATTTGATATTAAATGGGTGGATGATACACATGCTTTAGGAGTATTCTCCAGTCCAATCACAGGTACTCATCCAGTGTATTTCAGTGTTTCCTTATTGTCCATTTTCTCCTACTACTTATTTCCAATTGGGCATTTTATTCAGCTAATATAGATAGTAGAATAGATAGAAGTTTTTGAAGCATGGTGCTTGGGTACTCATGTGTTGCCCCTCTCCCATTTCTGTTAATCCGATGATATTTGGAGAGATAATCAACTACTTCCAAGATTATTCGCACACATAACTGTCAGACATGATAGTGCATAAACAGATTACAGATAGAGATGTAAGAAGGCAGTAGGACTAAGTCTTAACAGTATATCTTATTTTTTTTGCCTCAGACTAATGAATTTGAAATAGCCCTTTAGCCTATCAGTGAGAAATTGCAGTCCCCACTTTCTGAATTTGTGATTGGGCCTTTGTACATAAATCATTAGGCTCATGATAGATCTGATGCATGACATTCAGAGAAATTAGAAATGTTAAAATGTTGGTTCCTGTCTGAACCATCTAGGACATGGGTCTGCAAACTTGCTCCCTAAAGGTAAAGTAATAAATATTTTAGACTTTGTGGGGCAGAAGGTTTCTATTGCTACTTTGCTTTTGTAGCGAGAAAGTAGCCACAGACAATATGCAAATAAATGGTTCTGGCTCTGTTTCATAAAATTGTATTTATAACCATAGGTGGCTGGCTGGGGTTGGTCTTGGAGCCGCAGTTTATTGATACCTGATCTGACATAATCACTGCCAAGTTCTTTACATTTTTCTGTATTTTATGATCTTTTTTTTGCTTTGAAAAAAAATAAGATCTAGGAAATACTTAATTTTCCTCTATATAACTCTACTTCATGTCTTCTGTTTCCTTACATTTATTCCTACTCGAAGCTCGTGATGCTTTGAGTATTAAACATACCATGGTGAAGATCCGGCCCTTATCGCAGGCCACAAGAGCAGCCAAGGCCAAAGCTAAAGCTTATGCTGGTGAGTTTAAAATCTCTGGGTTTTTTTATTTTTCCTTTTGATGACAGCATTACTGTTTTTTACAGCAGTTGTACCCCATCCAGAGTTGTAAAGACATCATTTTTATTTTTCATATGAAGGAAGTATACTTTTAGGGACAAAAAGAAAAAGGACTGTGGTGGAAATAAGCCATCAGAACAGCTGGTTGGAAAGTGGGAGATACTAGCTGCAAGGAATGGAGCAACCAGGTTTTTTTGTTTTGTTTTGTTTTTTGGTACCAGGGATCGAACTCAGCACCTTGCACTATAGGCACAGTACCACTGAGCTAAATCCCTGGCCCTAGCAACCAGTTTTTGATGACGCTGTACCTAGTTTACCTTGCTTTTACCTGTTTGATAGTCACTGTAAGAAATTGCCTTAATGCAGATAATGAAGCAGGGTTGTTTGTGCTTTGCCGTGTTAACTTCCTCTGATCCTCATCTATCCGATTTGTATTAATTACTGCTGATGCAGACCTTGTTAGTCTATTTTGTATGTTAATTACTGAGTTAAATCACTTGGAGCTAGAGTGCTTTCTCCCTTATCCCCTCCTACTCTCTTCCTCTTGCCCATTCAGAATTCCTTCAGCCACCTAAGGAGCGACCTGAAACCTCAGCAGCCCTAGCCAGAAGGTTAGTCATCAGTGCCCTTGGGGTTCGAAGCAAACAGAGCAAAACAGAACGGGAAGCAGAGCTCAAGAAACTGCAAGAAGCCAGGGGTGAGTTGATACAATGGTGTTCTTCCCTAGTTCCTCTTAGAGTTCACTGTAAGATGTGTGTTTAAAAAAAAAAATAAAGAACCCCATTCCATGTCATTTCCATTTCTAGGAGCCTCTCAAGTTTATAAAAGTTGTTTTCAAGCTTTATGTATAAGAGAAAGACATTTCAGGATTTTTTGTGTTCCTCACATACCAAGACATCCTAATCTGTACTCCTGCTGTTGTTTTCTAAGAGATAGATTTTGGCCTCAGCTCATTTTTGGCTTTTTCTTTGGTACCGGGGATTGAACTCGGGTCCTTGTGCTTGCGCAGCAGGCAGTAAAACCACTGAGCTAAATCCCTGGCCCTTTTTCTTTGGTTCTTGCTCCAAACTTAGAAAAACTTTTCCTGTGGAAACATAATTGTCTCCTAGATTAGAAAACATTTGCTGTGGTTTTACTAGGCCACGATTGCCATGGTATTGCCATGATGTTATTAAATGGTTTAGATCTTAGGTAGAAGACAAATTAAGATAAAACCAGCAACTGACATTAGTGATAATAACGGTAAGAGGGATGTTTGTCTTTTTAAGACAGTCTTGAGTGGCTCAATTAGAGTACATTTGGATTCACCTCTTTTAATTATTTTCTGGTATCTAAGAGTTCTCAGAAAATAATTTCCTTGTCCACAAGCAGGATTTTTCTTGCCTTATAGTTGGGAGTTGAAGTTACCTCTCCTTTATAGGCTGTTGAATTGTATGTAAAGACTTGAGACGTGGGCTTGGTACTTAAATGCTTTTTATCAACCTTCAGGCTTTAGACAGTCTCATTGCCTTAGCCTAAGATCTGTGGAATCTGTGGAGGCAATTTATTCTGAAAATTTCACTTACTGAAAAGTGACTTCATTTTTTCTATTAAATGAATGAAGTTTCCAACTCCTTGTTTATTACCAGTTTAACAAGGCCATTAATACTTCCTGTCCACTCTGCTTTGATGATAGCAGGCAGCTTTCGGACTCTCAGCTGCACTGGCCAGATAACCAGTGACAGAGTGTGTCATGGCAGGTGCTAGAGTTTCAGAGTTGATTGCAACTAAGTTTTGAAACCTTAATGATTATGAGATAGTTTTGACTTTTCCCAGTGCTTTGTTCAGAGGCCTTTTATAGACTATGGAAAGCAGAGAGGATTGCCCTGGTTTTTATAGGTGGTAGTAACAGAACTAAAGAAGAATTTGCAATATCCTTTATTAATTGGTTATCTCTAAGGAACATTATTTCTCTGTGATAGCTATGATTATCTCAAAAGATGAGTAGAGGTTATTAACAGTGGTTTCTAAAGAAGGAGATATGACTCCTTGTGCAATGTACCATGCTTCCGCATGGGTTTAATGTTAGCTGAATCTCTGTAACTTAACTACTGCAACAGTTGTTTTACATGGATATCCTTTGATTATTCTCCTCTAGTTGTCTGTAGGTACATCAGCATGCAGCTCCACTTCAAGTATTTGTTTTAAATACTTTGCTATATAAAGGACACCTCAGTGATGCAATGAAAGAAAAAGAGTCTGTTGGCTAACTTAATACTCTGTTACTTTTCTAAAGAATGCGTTTGTGAGTAGAGACTCACTGTGATAAGTTCATCCTGTCTGTTGATACTGAGACTGTATGGATTACAGGGGACCCTTCCTTTCTTATGCTTCAGAGCTCTCCTATTCTTCAGGCCTAAAAAATGCATTTGGAAATCTTCTTGGTCTCTTTCAGCACCTTTTTGTATTGAGCGGATATTCATACACCTGCACGGAGCCCAAGCCTTCTCACTTTAAAAAAAAAAGTTTTTTCCTGTGGAAATTATAAGTACTGTTTGGGTATTAAGCAGAACATTTATTTTTGTTCCAGATGGGAGCAGTACAGCTTAGTGGATAACATTACAGTATTGATTCTGGAATCAGGTTGCCTAGGTCCTATGTCCTTGCTCTGCCATTTACTAGCTATGTGATTGGGCAATTTACTTACTCTCTGGAGGTCTCTGTTTCCTTGTTCATAAAATGGAAATCAGATGAGATAGTCTATAAAAGAGTTATTTTTTAAAATCAAAGGAACTGGCACTGCTGTTCCAGTAGGCCTATAGTAGGTATATAAATGTTAGCTGCTATTTTTATTAGTAATAATAAGATCATTATGTAGTGAGTCCAACATAGATTACAATGCATAATTTTTTTATCATTACTCTTTATTTTAAAAATCCTGTAATACTCTATTAGCTTTATTTGGCATTCACTGTACAAAGCATTGTCTTTCCCTATGTAGGAGAATTGGAAAGCAAGATTTCCTCTCCTTAAGACTTACAATCTAGTGGGGCTATCTGCCTTGAGTAAGGAATAAAATATGGACTACTTTTAGATATTTAGAGCAAATATTTCTCCTCTCATTTTCTTTCACCAACCCCCCCTTTGTCTCCCCTCCTCCAACCCCCCAGGTGCTAGATTGGACCCAGAATCTTGTACAAGTTAGGCAAGTACTCTCCCACTAAGCTACATCCCCAGCCAGAAATTTCATTTCTGAAGATTTAAGATGAAAAGGCATTAAAAGGATTTTATTCATGAAAAGAATTGGTAGGAAATTCCAAGCAATCAGTATAGCCTTTTGTAGTAGTTTTGTGTCATTATAAGGTGGGATGAATAGTATTATCTCTAGTTTAGAGGTGGCCCAAAGAATTTAGTACCTAGACTAAAGTTATCCACGTGGTAAAATGAGAGGAGAGATTTGAATGTAGATCTCTCCAGTTAAAACTCATACTTTTTGTACAGTACTGTAGTCCTTCCTAAAGGACTTTTGAGATGATTGACATTTTTTCCCAGAAAAAAAAATATTATTCTGTATTTTATATAATAAAAATTATATAAATGTCACTTTTACATTTATAAAATCTTTTAAGTCTTCAGAGAATGAAATGTGATAGACTTCTTTTTCATAGCAATACCAATGGTTAGCAACTTTCACTGTCAGAAGAATCTGTGTGATAGTTTAAAGCAGCTTCCTCCTTTTTTCTAGTAAAACATCTGGACACCATTCTATTTGAGCAACATTTAACCATAAAGATCAAGGGCAGATCATTTAGGAATGAGAGAATCTGAGCTTTAATAGATATTTTGCCATTAACTAGCTGTGTGGCCTGGGGAAGTCAATTATATTCTCTTTGCCCCACTTTCCAACAAAGTGAAAGTACTGCTCTCCCTACCTAATCAGCACAACATAAGTCAATGTTTGTAAAAATGCTTGGAAAGATGCTTTACGAATCCATGATACTGTTCTTCTGTGACTCATGAGAATTGAGTGTTCTACATTATAGTAATAAAAGCCAGTAATGACAAATTTGTATTATGTACTGCTACTCCCCCATCCACTACACATAGCAAATAGTACTAATCAGTCATGATACTCACTGTTGATTAGTATTGACATGACCATTTCCAACTGACCAGAATTAGTGTGGGAGTTAATCTGTGTACCATCCTGGCATAGGTACTTTCATTAATACTATACAATAATGTTCTGGGCCTTCTTTCTCCTATATAAAGAATTCTGTTGCCTACCTCAGTACCTAGGACATAAAAAGGTACCCCACCCATGTTCATTGATTGAATACATGAGTGACGTTGGTTTCTTTAGTTTTTATTCATAGATCTTATGATTTTACTCTGAACTCTTAAGCCTTCCATGTTTCTAAAATCTAAAATTAATCATTGAATATAGAAATTCCTTCTAATTAATGAGTTTGGAATTTGTAAATTTGAATTTTAAATACTTTCCTGCTAGGATTTTCCACTCTACTTGTATTTTCTTTACACCTTTAAAGGAGATTCAGAAATTAGTGCTACTCCTGGAATAATTGAGAAAAAGAGGGCTGAGGATTTAGCTCAGTGGCGCTACACCTGCCTTGAAAGCACATCCTGAATTTGATCCCTGGTACCAAAATAGCAAACCAAAAAAAACAATTGAGAAAAAGAAGTTTCCAAATCATTTTAAGCAAATCACATTGATTATATCAGGAGGAAGACAGCTATTATAGTACATAGTCCCCGAACATGAGAAAAGTATCTTTTAGTTCAACACAGTGCATAACAGATCAGAGATACACTAAAAGTGGAAAATGAAAGCATAAAGGATAGATCATTTTTTAGTGCCCCAATTTAGGAATATGTATAAAGTTTTCCCATGTTTCACTTATCCAAATGTTTGATTCCTATCTAAAATTGGATATAGATATCATTGCCTCTTAGAATAAGCTTAACCCTCTCGTTTTCAAAGCCTGCTGTAATTTTGTTTCATAATTAATTTCCATTTTATGCTTGGGGATAGGTGATTAATGGCTAGTTCTGAAAAGCCGTGTTTTGGTTCATAGGTCTAAAAGGCAGAGTAAGTAAACAGTTGATAATTAAATCACTAAGAACTTAAGATCATCCCTATGTAATACTTAGTCTACTGTAACAAACAAATTTAACCATGGTTGCCAACTTCTGAAAACCTTTTTAGGCATTCCGTTTTCTGCCTTAAAGGATAATGCTGTATTACTGGCTCATAATCTAGGCTTTCAGGTATTTTCTTTTCCCCATTAACTTTATTGGTACATTGTAGGTATAAAATACAGTTACATTCATCGTTGGGATCTTGTACCATTACATGAGCCTCTTGGTTCTTATTTTTTTCCCCTTCCCTTGCCCTCCCTTCACCCCCTCTACCCTTCCCTATTTGCAAAGACCTTGTTTCCATTTTTTTCCTCTTTTCATATTTTTTCCTTTCCCTTTTTTCCCTTCCTCTA